GATATACAAAATTTAACACAACCTGCCACACGAAGCATTTCAATGGCATGGCATGGGTGCATGGATCGGCTCTTAGTTGGGAACGTCTCGGCGCGTCCGGTTGTACCGCCACATGTAATACTGGAATCCCTTGCTTACTGTTGTCCCTGTAGCACGCCATCTAGTTTTGCGACCACCCGACGGAGTTCTCGGATGCCTCCCTCCAGCTTCCCTTTCTCGCACTAAACGTACGCGTGTGTCTGGTCCACCCTGGTCAACACTGTCTACGTCGACATTCGCAGTGATTCAATAAAGTTTATTACTTTGTCGCGGTTACCGCTGGCAAAAGTACGCAGCATCTCCAAAGGAATTGGTCTATCGATGTTTCCATCCAGGTTTAAGTGTCTACCTTTGACCCTGCCCGTCTACCTTTTGAAGGGAAAGTCTATAGATTTTGCAAGTTCATTTGAAACTAGTTCATATCGGATGCATCTTTGTTGAAAATATTTTTGATCTCATCTTTCTTTTCTTGCCTTTTGTCCAGACCACTAACAAATTAAAAGAAAAGCATCTAAGGCCGGTGGAAAGGTTGTTGAAGAGACAAGGTGGCTGGAAATTATAGTTTTAGAATTAGAAATGTGGTCTTTGTGGTGGGGGTCCCATACAGCAATGGAATATTGACTAGACTTGTGTAAGCGTTTTGTTTAACTCCTCAAAGGCAGCTATAGAGGTTTGACAAAGCCTAGTGACTTATTCACTTTAGAAGTAATGTTGTGGATGTGTTCAGACCAAGAAAGTTGGTTGTTTAGAGTGACTCCTTAAAGTATTTGTGGCTGTCAGTCTCCGCTAGGGTATTATTTACTAGTTTGCAGTCGAATAATTTTGGTTTGTATTTGTGACTGAAGCGCATAACATAACATTTACATGATTGCTTTTACATGTTTCTAAGGTATAATGAAACAACATATGCATTTATGAATAAAATGAGCTCTATAGAATTGCGGTGCAATGGCCCAGTGGGTAGAGTGCTCGCCTTGCATTCGGTAAGTCGTGAGTTCGATCCCCGGCCGAGTCATACCAAAGACTTTAAAAATGGTACATACTGCTTTCTCTGCTTAGCACTCAGCATTTGGGAACGAGTATGGGAAGGTCGCAACACACAACACTACCAGCGGGCTAGCCCCCTGCTGTAGTGTCTTGCACAAATGTGTGTCTGTTGTGTCCCGAACTGTGCCCGTCCCATTCCGTGCCTGAGCGGGCACAGACCGGGACACAGCCTGACTGTCCAGAACCGTGCCCGGAAGTGCTGTCAATCATAGTGATTGGCGGGAACCTAAGCATAATTATTCACGCCCACGATTTCTTATATGGCTAGATTACGTGGGATTTTGCGAGTCTGTGTACAGCATGTGCTTTCAAAACGCAGTTTTCTCACAACTTAGTCTTATGTTTGGTCGATATGAACTTAGATAATGATATACAGAGACTAGTTAATACAAGAAAGAAACTCGCTTGGGACACATGTTATGAGAACTGTGTTCAGTCCCCTAGCCTAAATAATACGTGTCCAGAACTGTGTGCGTTCAGGCACGGTTCTGGATAGTCCCCCGCGTGTCTCAGAATGTAGATTTTCCCCAGGCACGGTTTGGGACACGCGCCGAGTGTCCCAAACCATGCCCAAGCACGGTTTGGGACAAGGCATCCGCGTGTCCCGAACTGTGCTCAGTCCCCAGGCACGGTTCGGAACACGCACTGAGTGTCCCAGACCGTGCTTGGGCATGGTTTGGGACAAGGCCATCGCGTGTCCAGAACTGTGCTCGACCTGAGGCACGGTTCTGAGCAAACACTTCGTTTATATTCAAGTTCACGCTCTAGTCTGTAGTGTATACGCGTCAGGACTATTTAGATCCGTGCGTGGGGTTGGTGGATAAGCAAGTGTTGTTTCCGATTCCAGGACTGAGCTTGGGTCAGTCTGCTTTCTTGGGTATACTACGTGCTGTGTTGTATCAAGAACTGTGTTCGTATTGTGTTGCAGAATGATACAAGACACTCTGTTTGGACACTACATGTAAGTCGTAGACCAGCGTGAAATGTAAAAATGTACTTTACAGAGCAGGAATTACACCGATTCTTTCTTATTCTTGCCCCGACGAAAAACAAAGATGGCGGCCTAAAACAGTAAACAACACCACGAGAAGGCTCCTCCCTCAAAACAATAAGCTCCACCCCCGGCCCCAAAGCACGGAATGGGACAAGGCCCTTGTGTGTCCAGAACTGTGCCCGGTCAGGCACGGTTCGCGAATTCGGGACAGTCCCCGCGTGTCCCAAACTGTGCTCAGTCCCGAGGCACGGTTTGGGACACGCGCCGTGTGTCCCAAACCATGCCCAGGCATGGTTTGGGACAAGGCACGGTTTGGGACACAACAGTGTCGCCCAAGGGCTATTGAAATGGAGATGGGCACCACCCCTATGCTCTGCACAGAGTACGGGACCTTCTTCTATAGAATTCCTGTGTCCATACTACAAAAGTCAAAATCATCCTCTAGTATTGGACCTGTGGCATATGTGTTGTCATTCATGATAATTTATTTTACGCAATACTTCGGACTGTTCAAAATGACTATGCAATGTACAAGAAGTACTATTATATGCCCTGACGTTGATTACCCAACACATCTACATTGTCAACAATTGCTATATATATATATATTTATATAGATATAGATTAGTCAAAAGATTTGGTAATGCTTATCTAATAACCTATCAAGGTCAATACATACATAATGCAGCACTCTCACCAAACAAACCCATGGCAGCTTCAATGCACACTTTTTTGGGGTGTTTATTCCTTTACAACCCCCTGTGATGTGCACAAATTCCACAATGTCCTAAGGATTCACGAAATAAGAGTGTAAGCATAGATACTTAGCACTGTCATACATGATTTTAATTTTACTTAGGACTGTTCAAAATAACTTTGAAATCTACAGGAAGTAATACGCCCTTTGTAGTTCTACCTTCTACGTTGTCTTCAACAAAATTGATCTAGTCGAAGAATTTGGTGAAACAAATGTTTACATAATAAGGAGAGAAAGATATACAAGTACCTGTTCAAATGCAGTGGAGTTGAAGACTGCGGATGATAAATTTTCTTTTTTCATAAACTACTAATCAAATTATAACTATGTGAGAGAAGATGTTTACGCTAATTAAGAAAAAAGCTCATTGCTTACTTTATGAACATCATAGAAGACGGAGCTAGTTGCTGCATGTTAGTGGACAAAGATGTGAATCAGAAAGTGTCTGCTCAGTTGTGATTTCCACAGTCCCAAGGGATTCTGGGAATTTTACTAAGTGGGAATGTGGGCATAGGGTCTGCAAAGTTCCAGTACGAATCTCACACAGACGTACTTTTCATGACTGTATTCTACGGTGTTATTCTGTACAGTGACTGTTCTCTATTACTAGTATGAGTGGGCGCAATCCTAATACCTACTTTTAGTTCTCATCACTACAGGATACTCCAAGAATCTTTAGGGAAAATTTTATTTTATATGCGTATTTACAGTTTCTTTGGCGTTGAAACAACCCGGTACTTCCGGAAGTGTGACGAGAGCCACCGCATGGTTTTCCGATACGTGTCAAACCACGCCGATTTCAACGCTTTCCGGTCAAAATAAAACTCCCGCTAAAGAGAACCCCGTAATATTTAAGATGACAGCGACAATGTTTTCGATGAAGGCATTTGTGGATACACAGGATCGCAAGAGACGTGGGGTATGTACGGCCGCTCAGCACTAGGCCTGCTAATAATTATCGTGCGGTACAGCCGGTGCAAACTAATATTATTTTTAGATTCAGTATATCTGACTATTATGTTCTTCTTTTAATTGTTCGACAATATACAGCCCGTTTGACCATTGTACCAATCTTCTATCTTCTATACACACATGCTTAGTGGCGCCCCACGGCTCGCTGGTTGGTTACTTCTATACCGTTTCATCATAGCGATCCCTGACAGGTTTCGGATGGGACAGAATGTTCTCTTCCGTGGCCAAACTCCCTGGGCCAATTTCTATTCCGAAACCTGGTAGAGGCTAGTTTAGTTCCAACATAGCGAGGGCGTCTATTGACTCACCAGAGTCCACATCCCGAAGTAGAGACGCCACGTCAGACGTAAGGACGTAACCCGATCCATCCCTCTCTACAAGTGGAATCGTAGGACCTTCCTCCACAGTCTTCCATTTCAATTCATTTTTAACTGTTCCAAGGCGATCTGTATGAAAGATAGACATTGAAATGTAGGAAGTAATAATAATAATAATAAATGGTTTATTGGCCTGAAACATCACCCATGCAATTGCAGCCTTATATTGCTGAATTGATGCAGGGTTTACAAATGGTAATAATACACATAATGGTAACAATACACATAATAATACACATGGTACATATTTTTGTGGAACTGCCGCAAGGGTCTGTGTGGCTGCCATTCGGCGCCACAAGGTGACCTCAATACAACTTTCCCCAACCAAAGTTAAGTACCCATTCACACCTGGGTGGAGTGAGGAAAGTCATGTAAAGTGCCTTTCCCAAGTGCACAACGTCGGGCGCATGTCCACACATGTCCCGGGTATAACTCGGGATCAAACTCGGGTCTCCCGGTTCACAGTCGAATGATCTACCACTATGCCACCCCATCCCACAAGTTATATAGATACTCATCATCTATTTATCTATCCATCAATTCATTTATCCATCCACCCATCCATTCCTGATCATGCCTGCTTAATGAAAAGCCCTGCGTTACTACTATCTAAAATAATGCTAAGGCATTGTTTTGGATAATCGTGGACTATCCAGAACTGTGCCTGGGGCAAATCTACGTTTGGGAAGACTATCCAAAACCCGATATTAAACCGTTCCTGATAGAGACTACCCAGAACCGTGCCTGATCCTAATCGTAATCAGGCATAGAACCAGAGAAGCATGCACGGTTCTCGAGACGTTAAAACCCTTACCCGTGTCCCCCTCAGCCCCCTCCCGGTCTGCCATGTCCTCAAACCGGATGTTGTTGATGATGACTGCCACCCCGCGGGGGTCACAGGTCATCTCATACGAAATACTGAGGGACGCAGAGATCTGCCTCTTCAGTCGTTTGATCTCTCTTCTGTCAGCTTCGGACTGCTCTTTCAGTCTTTTGTACTTCCTCTTGTCAGTCACTGCCTGGTCCTTCAGACGACTGTTTTCCTGTTCCAAGCTCCGACTCAGGTTGATTGAGATTTTCGGGGCTTTTTTCTCACGCCTGAGTGCAGTTTGTAGGCTTTTATTTTCAGTTTTCACCTGCTGCAGTTGCTGTTCTTTGCTGTTCAGGTTCTGCTTGGCAGTCTCAAGCTGCTGTTCTTTGCTGTTCAGGTTCTGCTTGGCAGTCTCAAGTTGCTGTTCTTTGCTGTTCAGGTTCTGCTTGGCAGTCTCAAGTTGCTGTTCTTTGCTGTTCAGGTTCTGCTTGGCAGTCTCAAGTTGCTGTTCTTTGCTGCTCAGGTTCTGCTTGGCGGTCTCAAGTTGCTGTTCTTTGCTGTTCAGGTTCTGCTTGGCGGTCTCAAGTTGCTGTTCTTTGCTGTTCCGGTTTTGCTTTGTGGTCTTGAGTTGTTGCTGAAGCTGAGACAGCTGCCTCTGTAAGGTTGTCATGTCTTCTTTGGGCCCTCTCTTCCCTGTGCAGCTCTCCCTTTGTGTAAATGAGACCAGTTCTTGAGTTGATGCCAAACCTCAGTTTGTTGTTGCCCCTCTGGATGTCGTATACGATTTCGGCGTTCCTGCCTGTGTCTGGGTCAGTGGCTTGAACCATCACCACAGGTGTGTTTACAGGTGCAAACTCGCTCACTGTTACCTCATACCTGGTCTGACTGAACACTGGGGCATGGTCATTCGTGGCCTCCAGTTTTCTTACTTGCAGCCCCGTCTTTTTGAGAAGTCGACGCTTGTTTGAGAGAAGAAAGGCAGCCGCTACATGAACGATATGTGAGAAGAATCATGAGATTGATAAAATCATGAATCATGTTCTTTTTTCTTTTAACCGTGGCACTGCTGCAACTAATATATTTCCTGTTAGGTCCAGGTGAAGTCATATAATATTATATTATACAAACATAAACAATGTTTCTTTAATGGAATTACATGGCCATAAGTTAGTTAACATGGCATGAAAAGGCAAGCAGAACATTGAAAACTTGATACATACAGTACAGTATCATTCTCATGTTCTGTTGTTCACTTGAGTACATGTGTGTACTTACCTTTTGGCGAAGAGAACTCGGCCAGAGCAGTTCCTTTTTTCCTCGAACATGACCAGTAGTTGTTTCATCCATGGAGGTAAAAAAATCCTTTTTATACCTCTATGTTTCATCAAAGAACAAAATGCGTAGGGTATCACATCATCCGGAAACCCACTCATAACGAGGCACGCGTCTGGATCCATGTCGACTTCAGCCCATTTTCTGTTTGAATTTTGCAATGCACCTGCAGTAGGAAACAATAAGTGGTAAAGTCAACACAGTACATGACTATAATCGTTTACTGGAAATCAACCTACTTGATCAGGGGTGCCAGAGTATACAGTGCAATTTTACGGAATACAGTGCAAGTTTACTAGTATACAGTGCAATTTTACGGAATACAGTGCAATCGTATTAGTATACAGTACAATTTTACGGAATACAGTGCAATCGTATTAGTATACTTATCGTTATCATGATTTGCAGTTCTGCATCCACTTGTTGATTTACTACTGTTTATGGTTTGCAGTTTTGCAACCTCTTGTTACTACTTTTTGTAACAGGTTTGTTACATTAATCATCCTTGACCTCTGACCTCTCCCCGTTCACTTTAAGTTCAGTTTTAAGTTATGCTGTATGCGTTATGTTATAATTTGATTAAGACTCACACCTTTGTTATGTTGGTTTTACTTTCATGTTTTGTTCTGTTCTGTACACTTGTTTCATTGTAATTTTGCGACTCCAGGAAGAATAGATTTCATGTAAATCTATTAAACATTTAAGATTTAATATTAATGCCTATGCACTTTATATAACATTTGTTTATTAAACATATTTGTGAAAAGAAATTAAAGGTTTTCTATTAATAATTATGTTCGAATTCAAACATAAAAGTTGTTTGACCTCTACAACCCCCTCAGGTGGCCGAAGTTGGAACTTTAACCAAGCCTGAATAACTTGTGAAAAGAACGTACTTATTGGTGATCGTCTTCCCATAAGTGATTCAAATCCACAGTTTTCAAATGACAAAAGGAAAACAAATTCGCTCTAAACATAGTACGTGATAAGAAAATTAACTTGGAGCAAAACCACGCAAAAA